TTGCAACAAGGATTGGTTGACTGTCCTAGAAGACATAGGTGCTCAGAAACACGTAGCCAGCTATTATTACTAGACAAAGGTTTAACAGGTATTATCTCTTAAGAATAATGAAGTAAATTCAATTCTTAGGCATATTTTAGATAGCTTGTTCTTTTTCTGCTTTCTCAGGAATCTTTGAGCTACAAAGAAAATGATATTTTGACTTGTATCCTTGTAGGCAGTTAATGAATCTTTTGAATCTGAATAAAACTCCTCTGATATCACATTATCCAAATATAATACAAAGTAAAATTCAAGCATTCAGCTGCTAAATGTGAATCAAGTTTTGTCTTGCTAATGTAGATTTTGTTAATCCTTTTTCTGATAATGCTGATTTATCAATGAAACACATCAAAATGGAAGTTTCCCAAATTGTCTTATGCATTTACCATTTAAGTATATCTGTAGCTTAATCCATGAAAACTCACCTTGCCATTTTTAGAATGATGGGAATTAATGGCTTACAGGTTAGAAACTCATAATACCAGATGTATTTTATTTACTTATTTTTTATAACTCTACAATTAATAGTGGATTTTTATTTTAATTAAATCTCACATGGTAATCCAACTTCTTCCAGTGAGTCTTTTAGTCCTCCCAAATGAGTACACGTGTCTCATCGCCTGTACTCCCAGCTTACTCATGATGATTTTGATCCAAGCAGAAGTTCTATTACATTTAATTCTGTTGAGTTTGCCTGCATTTTCTTCTTTTGTCTCTTCATTAAGGGTGCTGGAGGTAAACATCTTCTGGGTTGGCATTATCGGTCTGATAGTCAGGGATCAGAACCCCCTGAGGAGGCTATCCCATCAGGTGTATAATATTGGGGCTATTGTATTGTCATATTGTGATTGGACCAGGACCATAAATTATTTTCTGGTAAGGCCTTTCAATGTAGTTTATGTAGAAGAGATAATGGTCAGTTCTAGACTTGAAGCGGTTAAGATTATAGTAATCGTGAAAAAATCATTTTGAGTGTCTGTTCCAAAGTAGCAGTTCTTTAGAAGTTGTTGTTCAAGTAGAATTTTCTTTTTACTAATGGAATATGAAAAGAATGAGCATGATTTGTTGCCACGTACATGACATGGCAAATCTTAGCTATGAAAGTCATGTGAAACTAAAGAGTGTAGCTATCTGAACATTTGCCATGGAAATAGCAATAGTGCATGTGACATTTCATCTGTGGGAAAGGGGTTGTAAGGTGTAAAATAATTCATCACTCACAAGGCCGTGTAGATACTTTGAACTCTATCAAGAGAGGCAGGTGAGGATTGGGCATCTTCAAATATGACAGCAATATGATCTGATATGGCTTTTGTAAAAAATAGAGCATAGCAGGAGGAGTCAGATACTTACTGGAGTGGTACAAGGAACCAACCCTTTTTCCAACATCTTTAGCAATGTATAGTATATGAGTGGGGAGCTTGAATTTTGGTGGGGAGCTTGAATCCAAATAGTTATTCAAGGCAAGGGCCCTCCTTGAGAGAACATCCATTCAGGACAATAAGTGAAGGTTCAGGGTCTGCTCAGTGATGATGGACAAGTTTTGTTTTGTTAGTCCTTCCCTGATTACATCACCAGGGAAAAGGTCAGAGGAGATCAGTTGCCAGGTTTTGGCCATACAGATTTTTGGAGGTGCTCTTATAAACTGTTATATAATTTGCATAGATATTCACTAAAGATCAGAGTATGTTCCTAAGAATTGTTCTCTGATGGTCTTAATGTCAAGCAGAAAGAGGGTAGGATCAAGAAGAAAACAGTGAAGAACACTAGCATTGATCTTGTGGGCTTGCAATGGCCTTCATGGATCAACGTGTTAGGAAGGACTTGATAATTGAGAAAACTCTTCCAGTGATTCCATAGCTACTGAGTTTGTAGCAATCCTTGATGCTATGCTTTATCAAAGGCTTTTGATGTATCTAAGGTGATCATTCTTGTGATGGATTTATTGTCTAGTGCCTCACTTATTCTGCAAGTAACAACTGTTAGGACATCAGCAGTGAACTTAGTAGAGTGAAATCCATATTGGTTATCGCTCATGAGGTTGTTTCTGTTGAGGACTTCAACAACCTTCTTGTTGATTATAGATTTTAAGAGTTTGCTGATGACACTAAGCAGGTTAATGGGTCAATATTGTGATGGAGATGAGTGCTCACTTGCATTTTTAAAAATCAGACACAGAGTTGTTGCCTTCCATCAACTTGGGAAGTATCTCTCCTTCAAACAGTTTTGTCAAGATTGAAGATAACTGGGTTTATAGTCTTAAGAACAAACCACTTTGATTTTATCTGAACCAGTAGCCTTCTTAGAGTCTGGGCTTTTGATAAGTCTGGAAACTTCCTGGGTCATAGTAAAGATATTACAATTTTAAAGATCTTGTTTTACTGTTAGGGATGAGTAACCCAGGATTGTGAATTGCTGCACTGGGGTAGATAGAATCATTGTAATTACAAAAGTATGCAAGTGTAGGCTTTAAGAAAGCTTTAGCCAACTGAGAATACAAGGTTTGCATATAGTCTCCTTTTATAGTCCCAGTAAACAGAAATAGCTCTCTCAAAGAGGAGAGTAACAAAACTAGGGGAGATCACTCTTGATTATTCATAACAATCAGACCAATTTTTGATAGGATTATGAGGTTTGGTTTGATTTGGGGGAAATGAAATAAAATTAAATAAAATGAAGTAATTTGGTCATTTTAACTCAGCACAACTATTTTAATCATTGTTATCCTTACTCACCATAACTTCTGAATCAAAAAGAAACTGGACAAACCCAAGAGTCGTTGAAAAATTTGTTTCACTACAGTCACCATAAAAAAGAATAAATTGTCCATGTTGAAAACTCAAGCTGCTTCTTTGTTTATCATATGTGAACACACATGCACACCTAAAATACACACAAACAGGTAACCTTATAATTTCCATAATTGGTGACCCTGATGTGATGGAGTTCAATTTCTGGAATGTTCGATTGTAGACTTTCTCACATGATCATAAGATTGTTGACCCCTTGCATTTGTATAGGAGATGCTGAACCCAAGATCTAATTTTGTTTTTGTGTGGTTTGGTTTATATCTTCCCTTTGATTTTTATTGTGGACATAGATATATTGAAATATTGGAGCATGTGAAGACAAGGTAGCAAAATAGCTGCATCCACAAGTTGTACATGCACCAATTTGCTGGATTAACTCATTTGGAAATACAGCTGTAACTATTCACTTTATCATAACATCGAGAAGCCTTTCCAGAATATAATGTATGGTCCAGACCCTATTCACAAAATGGCAATGCAGTAGCTTTGATATTATACACCTGATGGGATAGCCACTTCAGGAGTTATTCTTGTGGTTCAGATTCCTGACTATCAGGCCAATAACGCCAACCCAGAAGACATTTACCTCCAGCACCCTTAATGATGAGACAAACAATCCAGGAAAGAAGAAAACTCAGGCAGACTAACCAGAGTGAACATGTGTCATGTGCCTAGAATTCAAAGAAATAAAACTTCTCCATGGATTAAAATCATCATAAGTTGAAAGCACAAGAAATGAGACATGCATACTAACTTGTGAGGACCAAAAGATGCACTGGAAAAAGTGGGGTTATCATGGCTGCTCAGGGACACACAAGCCTCTCCTAGCCCCACTGAATTTAATATTATTTAAGTCATACCTATTGAATAGGAAAGGTATATTAACAAGACACTTCTGGATTATTTGGTGAGTAAAAGAAGGCTTGTAATGGATGTGTAATGTTTTAACATTGTCAAAGTTTTTTTTAGATACTATCACTTTCTGTGGTGAACAGCCCTGTAGAAGCAAGCGAGCCAGAGTTGCTTGCATCTGGTGTATAAGAAAATAAGGGTCTTACCTTAATGTGCGGCATGTGACATCAGCAAGTTTGCTTCGTGAAAATGGCATTACTCTCCTAGTAGTATGTGCAGTGATGAGGGTTTTTTGTACAGTTTGGCATGCTTCCACCAATAGCAAGTTGTGTGCTGATTGGTCAAACTGGAGGAGGCAATTTGCCTGGGTAACCAAGAATAAAAGCGAAGAACGCTGATTGGTTGGTGAACCACAGTGTTGGCCTGATAAAAAGAATGCTGGAGCAGTGAAAACAAGAGGAAACGATGGCTATACATAGTGACATGTTCAGAAAGCAAGGATGGTGAATTGAATCAGCAATATTTTGATTTGTACAAGTGACTTTGCAGCAATACAGACTTATTTAAACTGTTATGAAATAGTTACAAAGCTCTGTCAACATGTAATGTATTATAATGCCTGGTCATTTCCTCCACTATCATATTTCAAATTCTTTTCCTAATTGTATTCATAGAGCCAATTGCTGTTACCTTCAAACAGAAATGTTACTTCCATGATGTGAACTATTTTTGAATAAAACAAAACAGATAGGGATATTAGAATGTTGGTCAGCTATATCGGTGTCATTTGAAAGCACAATACTTCATTCAGAATCAGATATGATTTGCTGAATGCTTGTTTACACTTCAGGCCAAAATGTTTCTGGAATTTTTCTGATTCTATTTTTATTGGCTCTTTGCAATACTCAATAGCCTGCCATGTGGAGGCTGGCTGTGCTTCTGGGAAGTCTTAAAGATAAGTGATAATTTAGTCATCTTAATGTTTAGTAGTTTTAATGTGTTTAAACTTCTTAAATGAAGCATTAGCATTATCAACTTTTGACTAATTTTCTTTGTCTTACTTTTGTTCCTTTTTTGCTGCAATGATGTGATCATATTTTACTCTTTGTGATTATTAAGCCCTCAATGACCTCAGCATTACAATAAAAAGTAACGAAAGACAAAAAGAAAAAATTAGTCAAAAATTAATAAAAAGGTTTTGTTTTAAATGATGCACTATTCCACTCCAATTGTTTGAATTTGATCACTATAGATTGTTTGATTTTTATCTTGTTTATTTAAATTTTTCTTTTTCAGTTGCTCCAAGAAAAAAAAGTTGACAAGTGCTGGGGTTATGAAACGAACTGTTCAGAAGAGGAAATAATAGCTAACATCAATTGCCCACATGACTGTAAAGGGTGGTCAGTAATTATTTTTTTCTTTGGACATATCTTTTTGAACTGTCAGTATTTTATAATTGTTAACCATTTTTAATTTTATCTGATTTTTAGAAAATTAACAAAAGGATTTGCAGAAATATTTGCGTTATTAATGTGTAGAATATTTCCTATAACATATGAATTTTACTGGATTTTCAAAGTTTCACATTATTAGACAGCTTGCTGTAAGAAACATGATGTAATTAGAAATTCTAATGACAAAATGTGTACAAAATTTATAAAGAGAAACAAAGAATGTTTTTTCTGATCAAAGACATAATTGTTGGCTGATGTGCTAAACATTGGATCTCTTACCAGGTTTTACTCAAAAACAAAGAATCACCATTGTACATATCGTATCAGAAATCATACACAATTGAGTCTGTATTGATAATCTGTTGCAGTTTCTGACAAACACAAACCAAGTACTAGTTGGAGATAAACTAAAGGAATTGTTCAAAAATAAACAAGCCAGGTGAGAATTACAATAGAATATAAGTTTACAATCTATTAATAGTAGATTCGTTCACTTATCGTCCGGTTCATACTCTTCCCTTGTTTCCTGTTTAGGATTGGGTTTCCATTTCCTCCTAAATTCTACTTCATTTCTATACTTCTAAAATCTTCTGAAATTTATACTATTGTTGGGTTTCTGGTTCCTTCTAAATTTTTTTCCTTCTCTTTCACTTCGAGTCACCATTTGCATCTAAGTGATGTTATCACCTTGCTCGGGACAAATTGATTAAAAAAAAAAATTCTGTATGAATTATACTTTGGAAAGTCCTACAATTTATTTTTTAAGGAAAAAAGTTTGTTATAATTTATGTTTATGCAAATTGTATCTGGAAAAATCATTGTTATAAAATTTATATTTATCCCCCAAATTGTTAATACAATATCCACTCACAAAAAAATGAATTGTTCTTATACAATTCAAAAAGATATTTTAGTTTTAAATAACAGTGTTGATAAGTCCTAAAACAAATCAATTTCACCAGGTGTAAAAACTAGTATTTCCTCAAAAACAGGAAATATTCAATTATACAGCTTTTTATTGTCAAGAATATGGAGATTTCTTTTTCAAAGCAATAGAGCATAAAGATTTTAAAATTCTACTGGATAATTCAGTAGAAATTTTTCTATTTTAAGATGTTTAATGTTAATATTCTTTAATGTCTTTGTTAGTTTCTGAAATATAATTGATTGATTTAGTTGTTCTTTTGTTATTTTTACAATTTTTTTTATGCAAGTGAATATTGCACTAACAGTTTTAAAATTTGTTTTGAGCATAAGTGATTTTTTTTTCAGATACAGGTTCTACTATTTAATCCATAGCTTGGGGGCTGAGATAGACTTGTCTCTTTCTCAAGGCTATTTGCACGTAGGTGAATGTAATGAATCCGAACGGAATTCAAACTCGGCTCATCAATTTCTGATTTCAAACCACTATTCATTATACCACACACTTATATTTTCTGAAATATAAAAACAATGAAAAAAAAAATTATAAGAAAGAGAATGTAATTATATTGTTGAATAAATTTTTCAAGAATTGTTGTTTGAATCTCTGAGGACAATCGAAGAATCAGAAGATTTTGAAGTTCTCTTAAAATGTTTGTAAAGTAACATAAATCTTTCCTTCATATTATATTAAATCAAGGCAAATAACGTTTTGGGGGGAAGACTATGAATATAATATAAAAATGTTATTGTTTCATTATTATTTTTTTATCAAAAATTATTTCACCTATCATAAAGCTAGGTGAAATAATTTTCTGATTGATTTCTACAGATACATATTCTCTGCTTTCTGATCAATAGGAAAGAATAACAAATGATTCCTAGAGTTTTTAATTAGCTGTCGTATGTCCAGAAGTCGCTTTCTGTCTGCAATCCGTCTAGTCTCGACTTGAAGCCTAGAAAAAGCAGTGGCCTCCTACGCCCACTCGCCGGTTTTTAATCGTAGCGTGGTTCTCTTATGCAAATAAGTCTGCTGCATAAAATGGCAGTAAGGCGCGCCGCGACCACTCTCAGAGAATGGTTCACACGCGAGGCAACGAATCTGCTTTGCTCCTGGTAAGTCACTGTCACTCCTATTACACTCCCCTGATCGTATGATCACATAAGTGACAGTGAGGGGGCTGGTCGTTTCACCCTTGCACTTCTTCGCGTTGGTATAACCATGACTTCCTCCCCGCACTCTAGCTCCGGCCTGTAACTTCTCTGGATCCTTGCTCGTCAGTCCATTGAGCTCGAGATGTTTCCTCACAGATTCCGCCGACGCCACATCCTCGTTGATATATATATCATCAATATATGCAGACGTTGCTCTATTTATAGTTTCATTCTGTGCTAACACAGCATTAAGCACAGCTCGCATTATCAGGGCGCCACATTCAGGCCAACCCCAGCCTGGTCAAACAATATCGCTTCCCTTTAAACATAACTGTTTGATATGGCCACAGGATTTTCAACACGGATCTGTAGATATGCTTTCCTGAGGTCCAGAATGGACACGTTCGCACCATGCTGTCTCCAGTCTCGCAGTTTTTCTGCGCAAACATCCGCGTAACCTGTGAATGTTTCAACGTGGGTATTTAGTTCTATAGTCCATCACAGGACGCACCTTATGCTTGTTGGTCTGCAGCACGGCCATCAGTGGTATCAGTCCCTTGGGCGGGGCCAAACTCCTTGTTACTGTACGGCACCAACCAACCATTGTCCATCCATGTTTGTAATTCATGCTCGTACTCCTCTCTCATCTCGGTGGATACTGGATACTCAGAGATCCGATTCTGAAGTTTCCTGGTGCATGACCTGCCGACCACTTCCAGGCTGCGACCCAAACTCCCTGCCGCTCATTGAATTTCAGACTGAAATCGAAGCCGGCTGATACGAATAAGCTGCACAGGCGGACCGTGGTTTTCAAACTCCACGCCCATGCTGCGTGATGCGAACTCCACCGAAAGTGCCTTAATGGCGTCGATGCCAAGCAACAGGTCAAATCCAGGGGTTTCCCTCACATAACCAGTACATCGATTGCCTAGTATTACCAGTTGCTGTGCAAATTCTGACGGTGCCCTTTCCACAGCAAGCCTGCGTGGCTCGGTTAAGGTAGATACCGCCATACCCTGCTTCGACCAAGACCGACATAAACTTCGCGCTCAAGATTGACCATGAGCACCCTGAATCAAGGAGAGCGGCATGGTGTGCCGTCAACACACAGTAATGATGGGTAGCACCGAAGTTTACTTGCTGTTTGGGGAGTGGACCCGGCCACTGAAGTCTGCCCCCGCCTCCGTTTCCCCGGACAATTTTTGGCCAGATGACCGATCTTGTTGCATCGATAGTAACGTCGTTAGTTGCCCTTCGCCTCTTCATGCAGTCCCCTCGCCCAGGATTGGGCCTATTACATTCATAGCATGTGACAAGTGGGCCCATGTCTGGGAAGAACGGGGAATCTGGGAGGGCTGCACCGCAGAGCGACGACTGGTTCCCTCTCTGCTGTCTGGCCCTTTATGATTGCCCGAGCTCCGGGCCAATAGCTCCGAGAGACATATCATCCGCCCTGGCCGAGGACCGCAGGAGCCTTTTCACAGGATCAGGAAGCCCCTGCACGAACACGCGATGCCATCGCACTGTCTGGCACTCCTCCAAAAAAGGACGGAGAGCTTCAGATCAGCCAAATATACATCTACGGTCTCACCTGGGCCGTATATACGTGCCTCAATTGTTCGTATGCCGTGAATTTATCAGGGGCAAATGCTGTCATCAATGCTCCCTTGATTAGAGCCACGCCCAATTTCTCTTCCGTGAGATAGTTGCTGGTAAAAACCGCGAATGCCCCCTGTTTAGCGAAGGGGGATGACACGATCAAGCCGCTTCACTCCCGATAGGTCGCACACCAATTCCAATTTCTCGAGCCATTCAACCACAGATCCAGTCCTGGCAAACTCGGGAATTATCTTTAAATCAAACCGCCGTCCATGTTTGCCGAAATAGCTTGTCGATGTCCAGAAGTCGCTTGTCTGCAATCCGTCTAGTCTCGCCGCCTTGAAAAAGCAGTGGCCTCCACGTCCACTCGCCGGTTTTTTAATCGGTAGCGTGGTTCTCTTTATGCAAATAAGTCTGCTGCATAAAATGGCAGTAAGGCGCATGCGCACGACCGACTCTCAGAGAATGGTTTGACACGCGAGGCAACGAATTCGCTTTGCTCCTGGTAAGTCACTGTCACTCCTATTACATTAGCTAATTATTGGAAATCGCAAACTAGTTCCTCATTAAAAATTTTCTCAATATTTATAGATTAGCAGTAATTTAGGATCAACACATTTGCTTCAAGTCAGAGAAAATAAATTGTGTGATTGCTTGCCTTTTAATTGGGTGCTATCCAAAAATTTTAGTGAACATAATTTGGGAGAAAGGATTAAAAGTTGATAGAATATATGGTTCTTGGTTTGGAAAGATCTTTGAAATGTCTAGCAAGACCTGAGAAATGTTACATAACATAAGAATAATCAGCACAAATTGTATGAACTTTTGTGCAGTATTTTGCATATTAGTTATAATTTATTCTAATAATTTTTTCCTTTTTATAGATTTTATTAGTGATTGGAAAGTAATTCTGTATGAATTATGAGTCAACCAACCAAAACAGAACCAAGGTGGCATGGTACAAAACTCTGTTAAGAATTAGTTAATTCTTTCTTCAATTTGATAATGTGTTGTTTATAATGTATTTCAGAATTTAACCTGATGTAGAATTATAACTTCAAAAAAGTGAAAAAAAAAAACCCAACATATTTTCCATTGCTTACTGCATGGTTTCCAAAATTCTTAAATGTCTCTGTGACAATAATATCTGCAGTAAATTTCATTAGAAACAAAAGAGTACTGAACTGTTACATAATATCAGTCCTTCTATATAGCAGTAAATGCTAGGTAATCTCCTCACAGAGTAAGAAGAGAATTGAAGCAACAGAAATGTGGCTCTACAGAAGGATACTGAAAATACCATTCACTGAACATGTGAGCTACAATAATTTTTTTAGAGAAAATTGAAACAAAAATGACACTTATACTTAGCATCAGGAAGTGACAGTTGAAATTTCTAGGGCATATAATGAGAAAAGAGAGCTTGGAAAATTTGATACTCACAAGACAGATTGAAGGCAAGAAGGACAGAGGAAAACAATGCATAACCTACTTAGTGAGCTTGAGTAAATTTATGGTTGAACAATGTTTAGGACATGGAACAAAAAAACAAAATTTATTAAGAGCTACAAAGGACAGGAAATTGTGGAGAGACATGATTACCCACGTCCTGAAGGGACATGGCACATAGAAGAAGACATAAAGTTTATACAGATGCTGTGAAGGCTCATAAATGTCAACTATGATTTAAGTTTTGAAAATGGTAATTGGAACATATCTGACAAGCCTTGCTCTGGAAGACAACTCCCTGACATTTTGAAAGGAAATATTGAATTGAATCCACATCAAAGTACCATAGATTTGTTACAAAAAGTTAATATTCACCTCTGTACAAACATCTCAAGTGAATTGTGAAGACTTGCAAAGAAAGAATTTGGGTTCTTCATGAGCTTTTGTTTAAGAACTGAATGCAACATTCCACCAACTGCAGCAGTCTTTTACTTCTAATTAGGAATGCAAACGTTTTCTTTGCACATCACATTGTTACAGGTGATGAAAAACAGGTTTTGTATGCAGACAGAGCAAAAATACAATGGTTACCCAAAAATCAGAAATGACTCCATCCACAAAAGTCCCCAGATTGTGTTTAGTAGAAAAAGAAAGATAACATCCATTATGAGCTCCTGGAACCTGGAAGGACCATCACTGCAGATGTTTATTGCCAGAAACTTCATTGGATAAATGAAACATTATGTCAAAAATATTCTCTATCACGACAATTCAAGGGCACAACAACCAAAAAAAATAAGTTGGGAGCTTCTTCTAAATTCTTCGTACTCACCAACAGATTTTTGTTTTGATCACTTGAACATTTCATAAATGGCTGAGCATTCAGAAAGAATGTTGAAAACTGTCTTTCAAACATGTTGGCTTTTAATCTGGAATCCAAAATATGCCATTTTGTCAAGCTGCAGTCATTCAAAATAGTGGTAATTACATTTGTGATCTGTGCGCTGTGTCTCTTCAGAATGTCAGTGATCATGGTTCTCTACAACTTCCTATCCTTTGAAGCTTTTAGTAGGATTTTTATTTTCACCATCCCTCCCTCTTCCTGTTCTGTCATCCATTTATACAAACTCATTAGGTAAGTTACTCAATGTTTCCTCCCCTGTGAATGTGAAATTCTCCAAGCCCCTACCCCCCATTTGTTATGATGTGTCTCAGAAATTACAACTGCCTTTTTCTGATTTTTTATATATATATATATATATATTTTTTTTTTTTTTTTTTCCCCATTTTCTTTAAAAAAACTTTCACATTACTCACATGTTCTGTCCATGGTATTCTCAGCATCCTTCTGTAGAACCATATTTCAAATTCTTTAAATTCAATTTTCTCTCAAGCCTGCCAAACATTTAGGTTAAATAATATAAAAATAAATCTAAGTTACATTTGTTTTCATAATCTATTTGGTATATTATTTTCCGAATGCCCTAATATATTTTTATGAGCAGAAAAATTTTAATAAAATATCTAAATGAAGTTTAATGCTTTGAAATTTATGAATGAATATTTTCTTATCTTTTCCCATTGCTTAACTTTTTGTCTCTAAAGATAATTTTCTTATTTCAATAGATTTTAAGTTATTAATTCTTTTAGCAATATATATATATATTTTACTTTTTTCCTTTGGCACCAGGACAACTGATAAACATGCTCAAAAGGAACTTTTCTGGACTGCAGGAGATTTTGGTTATGTCAAACAGCGCAAAAAAGAATTGAAATCCTTTTGTATTCCTCAGCAAAAAGTAAGTCTTTTATTTGCTCTTCTTTTTATATGGTTTGTTTCTTGGTCAACCTTTCTTCTTTAGATACTACCATTTTCTAACAACTGAACATTGTGTAGTATGGGATTCATGCCAAGAAATACCAGAGGTCTAAAATACATTTCAATAAGGAAACTTTGCTCTAAGAAGAGTTGATCTGTGGTGCCCATAATATATAATTGGCCAACTTTCAGATAATTAAATTTTATTTCTAAAAAAATAGTAATGTGAATACTGAGTGTTACTGAGAGTGCTAATGTAAGTGTAGTATTTGATTTATGCCAAGAAATACCAGATGGTCTGAATTGGATTCAATTTCAATAAGAGATCACTAGTTTACTGGATCTACTTCTATCTTATTGACTCTTGTCAAAGTAGAGCATATGTTTATCTCTCTCTTGATAAACAATAGAATTCAGCATTAAATAATGTAGGAAAGGTTGATATATATATATATTTAAAAATAGAAATTGCAAATGTTTTTGGTTGTAATGTTTATTTTTTAAAAAATATATATTTTCCTTAATTTTGCTACACGGGTTTCTGGTCTCATAACCTTCTTCAGGCAAAGAGTGGAGATTTCCACATATTATTAAAATGAATTAATTTTCCTTATGGTTTTCAATCTTAAACATTCTCTTTTTTTTTTGGTATTAGTGAAACAAATGTCTTTCTTGGACTGGTCGTATGAAAGTAGTTCTTCTGCTTAAAGGGCAATAAAACATTTGTGTGTATATATATATATATATATAATATATATATATATATATATATATATATATATATATATATATAAACACACAGAATGAAATTCACCTTTACAAAGCTCAAGAGCCACTAGAAGTAGAGGGTTACAGAGTAAGACACATTTTATGGAGATATGTGGGGAAGATAATGGTTAACCCTAGACTTGAACAGGTTAAAATTGTAGTGATCAGAGGAGCATCCTCATGGGAATTAGTTCCACAAAGCAGCAGTTTGTGGGAATCTGCTTGAGTCAAACTTAACTCTCATCAGTGGAATACAAAGTGAATGAAGATGGTTCACTATAATGTATATGGCATGGCTGGTCTTAGCTGTGAAGGTCTGAACTGGTGGAACTAATGAATGTAGTTCATCTGAACACTTTCCATGAAAATACCAATAGATCATTGAGAGTCTTGTGATATTTTGTTTGTTGGAAAGGAGTTAAAAGAAGTCAAACTCTTTGTGGAAAAAAAAGTTATATTAATTTTTATAGTGCTCTATCACTCTGGATAACCATAATTTGTCACAGAAAACTTATTTTCTAACCAATCAGTTTCCATTGAATCCATTAAATTCAAAAAGTATTATTTCCACAATGCAACCTATTTTTGAGCTAACTCTGAGATCCTCTATACATATGTAAAAAAGATATTTAGTGTAAACAACTGTCAGCATGTTCAATGATGACCTATTGTGCTAACTCTTTTATAAACATCAACTGACATATCATAACAAAATTGAAACTGTTCATATTATAATGACAATAAACTTAGAGTTCTATTTCCTTTCCCATCCATTGCATTACCCTTTCATATCACTAAAATCATATTTCAGTCGTCATCAATTCATGACTCATATGGATGAAAAATTTTATAAAGGGTGTTTCATTAAGAGGGATCAAAGTCAGCAGTAAATAAATCAGTGTTATTGGTGAAAATTTATTTATTTCTCTATTGGATCATGTTATTTAAGTCATGGCAATTATGTGTGAAAAATAATATCACCCAAATGTCTGCTTCAGCGGCACATGTCCACTTGATGGTCAGAATTTTTGATGACTTCTCTGATTAGTTGCTCCTCGATCTCACCAATATGTCTTATTATCTCATCCTTCAGCTGTTGAATTGTTGTTGGCATAGACCTTACTTTTGAGATGACCCCAAAGGAAGAAATCTAAAGGTGTTAAGTTGCATGATTGTGGTGGCCAATTTACTTCACTGTTTTGAGGGAGGATGCGACCTGGGAACATCTCATTAAATTCTGTTTGAACATCCATTTTCATAATAGGCTTCAATAACTTTAGCATGTTGTTTGATTGTTAATCTTTCCATGTTTGAAGTTGCCAAAGACTTGTGAAAGAAAAAGAAAAAAAATCATTAAATGCTTAAACTTAATTCACATTTAAAATTGGTCCAAGTTATTTACTAATCTCTATTTTTATGGTCATGAGTAAAATGCTAACATTTTTTTTATAAGTCGATACTCGTATTCTGATGCAAAGAATATTATATCTTGATATATTTTTTTATTTTTAAAGTGATCATGGCTCTTCAGTTTCCATTTTTTTATTGTCTGTGAATTGCCCTGACAGAATATTAAAAAAAAAACTAATGATATTGCAGAATATATTTTTTTAATGTCATTACAGAATATTCAAGAAAGTTTAATGGTATTACAGAATATTAATTTATTTTAATGGTTAATTTGCAAATTAGGACCCATTCTCGGTTTGCAATAAAAATTTCCTGAATACTTACATTTAGGTGTAAATGTAGATGCTTTATTTGAAAATGACTTGATAAATTTGATAAAATCTACTATTTTGAAGTTATCAACAGTAAAAGTTTGGATTCATTTGCATCATTGGTGGCAGCCATTACTGGCATTGTTTGCATACATTTCCTGTGGAATAGCTGTGAGTGGAATATTCACTTCTCTTGATTATTGCACACACAATATAGTTCTCTTGCGCAGTAATTGAGACAAGTAAGATCAGTAAACAAGGCCATTAACTACATTCTCTTCCATGCTTATCTTTCCACATGGTAACCAGTAGGAGAAGGACAACTCTGAATTCAAAACCTCCAAATATGAGTGAAATAGCTTTATCAACCTGCAATTGTCCAAGCCTCATGAGCACAGCTACAGCTCTGAAAACATGGTCAATCAAGGAGAGGTTCCTTCAAGGAGTGAGAAGGCTCTGGATCTATTCTAGTGAGCTTTCATCACTGGTACCTCTGTGTGTGTGTAAAATAAGTACCTTTCACATAACAGGTCTGCAAATTTATTGATATACTCACATCCATCATTATTTTTCACTAAAGTTCACCCAATATAAGGCTCAAGAGCCACATGTAAAGGGTTACTAAATGAGGTGTGTGATATGAATGTACAAAGAAGTGAAGATTATGAGGATAAGGAGGATAAATAACAATTGCACCTTGGCTTAAAGAGGTTAAGATTGTTGTGTTTAGGTAGATTCCTCCATGTGGTAGTTTCTTCCACAAAGTAGCAGTTCTTGGGGAAAATCTGAATAGAACTTCCTCCTTATGAATGGAATATAGAGAGAATATGAGTTATTCAACTCTGTGGACATAGCATGGCAAGTTCTAGCTATAAAGGTTTGGGCTGATGGAACTAAAGAGGAACTATATTTTTTTTAAACGTCATATCCCTTCAAGGCATAGGCAATCATGGCTTTCCACAGATTCCTTATCTATGAAGTGCCATGACTGTAATGGGAAACATAGTGAATTGTCTTCTCTACAGTTTTGAATTCAGAATATCCATTCTCCTAGAATGGATACCATTCAAGGCTAGTTTAACCTGCTTTCTAACTCATAGCTTGAAGAGGAGAAAAGAGGGATGTTGGCTCCAACCCAAATAGGAATGACTGCAAAAACATCCCCCTCCCCAAATTTAACATACAGATGCATGCTGGGATTTCTTCCTAGGAAATAAGTCAGTTCTCAGTCCCATCTGCCATATTTCTGTTCTTTCTTGTCTTGAAGTCAGAACACTGCAATCACTTGACTGTATTCCTTTTGTATGTTTACACCATTCTTAGTTTATGAATATTTTTGCCTTATTACTGTAGCTTTGCCTACTTTTGTCTTGCATATATTGTTTGCTTAGTATTAATTTATTCTGTTCTTTTCTTCCTTTTGTTATTGGGAATTCTGTTTAGAGGGCCATTTCTGCCAATTACATTTAACCACTAGAAAGGATTTATGCCTTTTCCAATGGCATTGATGAAAAAGTGAACATCACATACTAGTCTGGAATCTGAACTTGGTTCACCAATTCGACTTTTTGTATTGATTACCGTTACCCTAGCTGCATATATCAGAATGGAAGAGGAGGAAAGAGGGATGTTGGAATATTCCAGTTCTCTCTTTCTTTGGAAAATAGAATTTGAAGGCATGGTTAAAAACAAACTTTTTTTCTCATAGAAAACACTGCAAACTTTTGCACACATATATAAAGCAGTGAAAAGTATCCCAAAATTCTGGTCCCATAGGAAAAATATTAAAACACACTAATACTTTTTTTATTTATTTATCAGTTTATCAATTCTGATACATTTTCAAAATGACATGTATTTACTTCTATATATTTTCTAACAATTTGAAAAATTAAAAAAAAAATAATTCATCAATCAACATTAAATGAAAATTTTAATGTCCTATGGGGCCAAACATTTGGGATATCCTATTGTGGAAGGTTGAGGGTGTATGAATTTTGCCTTGTAAAAATATTCAATTTTTCCAGAAAGGAAAAAAAAGGAAAGGAAAAGAACATAGATAAAGTATAAATCTAAAATTGTTAAATTCCAGTAAAAGTTTACAAAAACTATTTTCTTCCATTTTTTTTTTTTTTTTTTAGTCCTGTTTCTTCTGAAAACAGTTTTCATACAACAGGGTGTAGGGTAGTCTAGACATGAGAAGATTCTTTAATTCTTTCAACTCAGACTGTTAAATCAGGTTGCTATTCTCACTGAACTTCTACTTGAACCAACTAACTACTTGATACATTGTCCTCTTATTTATACTTCATGTGTGAACATAATAGTAAACACAAAAGGCACATAAATATTTAACAGAAAAATGTTTGGCTGTATTCTAAAGTGCGTTACTTGAAGAGTATAAAATTGTTAATAGCTTAATAAGTATACATTCTTAAAAGCTGAAACCTTGCAGATTAATAATTTGATATGTTTTAAAGGTTGTGTAATT